CCTCTGGTGCAAATTACTGACCTCTGTCATCATTTTAGGTGGGGGAACTTGCACAATCGGTGGCTGACTAAATACTTTTTTGCCCCACTGTATATCCAGAGAAAGTAGCACACATGTAAAGCCCAGTCTCATTAGTGCAAACTAACCACATTTTGCATAACTTATACTCTATATGTGAAGTTCACAGTTGCTTTGTGTCATTTTTATAAGAAAAAAAAGAAAGAAAATAATTTAAACTTTGGAAAATTTAAAGGCAACTATGTTGTTGCTAATTTATTATGTTCACAAAGCATTTTCACCCCTCCTCAGCTCATGTCTGAATTTTTATAAGAGGTGCACTTCTCTAGGTTGTAAAGCCAAATGTGGCACCATTTTCAGTCATAGCAGTGACCGATGGGTGGAGGCTTCACATCGAGTTCCTGACTAATCTTCAGGCTCTGCTACTGAGCCGAGACCTGAAGTGGTCTATAGGGAAATGCTGCTGATTTGTGCACAACAGCCACTAATCATTTCTACCTAGAAAATGCTGACTGTACACTACTTTGGCTGCAAATGAAGGGAGGAAATTATTCAGGTACAAAGGCCCAAGAAGTTAACAAAGGAAAACTTGATTTAACCACACACTGGTGGAAAACTAATGCCTGTGGACAGCAAGTCTGCTGTTTTTACCCGTGTCTTCATTTAAAATATCAACTCATGCTGAAAGTTAAGACAGCTGTTGTAACTTTAATGCCAAACAGACACTTTACACAGAAAATACGAGAACCTACTTGTAGCTTGAGGAATGTGGGTTAGAGGATGGGGGACAGGAGACGATGAGGCTGGGAAACACTGCGGACATGTTCATGAATGACTCTGAAATGACAGCAGGAATTATGTGTATGATGCATCTGAAAACAATCTCTGCTCTGGAGGAGAGAGCTATGAACACTATTCTTAACTCAATAATAACATATTTATAGACCTTAGTAAGACATTGGTCTTACTTTAGATACGGTAGTTAGAACAATAAAAGCTTAGTAAAGGAATACCACAAAATGTAAGGTACCGCAGTTAAACACAAATATAAAAATAACCATCTTCTAAGACTTATAACTTGTGTTAGCCAATGAGCACGTACTTCCTATTTCCTTCTGAACCAGAACAGATAATTTAAATAATTTACTGAGTATCATGTTGTATTCAGTAAGACGTTAAACTTGCGAGACTTTAGTTTCACACGTGTAAAGGTCATCTACCAATTGGAAAGTTGGTGGTATGTTCCCAGGATGCTTCAGTCTGCATTTCAAAGTATCTTTAAGCAAGATTTTATTTTATTTTATTTTTTTAGTACCGGAGCGTTTTCCAGAAAAATTAAATGGCACAAATTTGTCCTGCGAAATTACACGATCGTTGTGAGAATAGGTGAGTCAGAGATAGAAAGGACTGAGATTGTGAATTAGACATGTTGTAAAACGTGTTTTGAGTCTTTGAGTAGAAGATCACAATATAAGAACCAGGCCATTTACCAAATTCTCAAATTAGAGCTGGGTTTATTGTTGATAGAAGCTGCACAGGACAGGAAGTCAGACACAGGAATACCATATAGAATCCAGTCAATTTTCAAAATAAAAGACCCCTGAGCTCCGCTTTTGGAATGCCCCCAAGGTGCTTTGAAGCTCTCACAGAAACACACCAGTGAGGCAGAGGGCGGTTTTCATTTAAGTTGTAGTCACACAGGCTTAGAGACCAGTCTGTGGTCATCTGGCAACCACCATCTGGTTGCTAGGCCAAAATTTGCATTCGCCATCCGGTTGGCTAGGGGTTGCTAGCCTACCTAAAACTGGTAACAAAGAGGATATATATATCTCCAAAAGTTGATTCTGTTTATCTGGACATAGCATTTTGTGGGAGAAACGTTTCGTCACTCATCCAAGTGACTTCTTCAGTCTCAGATGACTGCAGGTTTCTTATAAACAGTACATTGTACTGTACAGTTCTCCCACAAAACGCTACGTCCAGATGAACAGAATCAACTTTTGGACACTTTTTGTGTTGATTTAACTTGTTGCCTTGCATCTTTCGTATACAGTCCATGCTTATGAGCCTAACTGAGATCTGAGGTGTTCCTGTGTTTAACAAAGAAACTCTCACAGCTCAAACATGACTTCTTCATCATTCTTTAATATTAAAACAGCAAAAAAATTTACAATAAGCTTCTCATCACTCATCCCACATCCACATTGCCCCCCTCCCTCCCACCCTCCCCAGAACAAAATCCATCCCCTCACGGACCCCATGTTACAAAGCACAGATACATATGGCTTTGAGTATGTTGCATCAGCAGCTGCTCGCTCCGCGATGCAAAGCGCTCATCTCTGAATGAATTATGAGAGTGGCTGTATCCTGGGCTACCAAAACAGTTGTCATGGCAACTACCTGCAAGCCAAGCACTGGGGGGATTTTTCACCCCCGACGCACGCCAACTCCTGCAACTGTTTTTATCCTCGCGTGGAGATGAACCTCGCAGAGGATGCTCGTCTCTGTGATTGATGGCACTTGTGAGCGGCCGAGCGGTAATTGTGGGAATCGCTCTCGGAGCCGTAATCACAGTGAGGAGCGCTCTCGGGTGTCGTATTGGCATAACATTTATTATGCTTTTATTGCAGTGTTTTCTGGATAACACTACAACCACGATGTATTTACGAAAGAGAAGACATGAAGCAGCTGGAAATGCATAAACTGAAGTTGGAGAACAACAGAACCAAATACAGAGAAAACCTCTGGCACTTAATCAGCCAAAGGTGATTCTATACCAAGTTTTGGACCACATACTTAAATATACAAAAACAGAACAGCCTGCAGCTATCTAAAAAAAAAAAGAAATTACAGCATAAAATATACATTATAAGCCAAATGTCACAATTTAACCTGCAACAGAGCTGCTCAAATACCCATGAGAAAAATTAAACCAAAGTAGGCTGTCCTGAAATGTAGTCCAGGCCAAACTATGAGTAGCTATTAAGCTCCTCCACACCTGCACAACACCAAAAAAACTGGTGTGAAATGGTAAATATCTACTCTTAGATATAATAAATAAATACATAACTCTCTGTTTCAGTAAGGACAAGGAAACATAGCGTGCTTAAAAAAAGATCTTGTAACTGTCGTACATCTGTTTAGCACTATTGCTGTCTATAAGCTTGATGAGTCAAACTTTGTAAGCTGCCCCCACATAAATAATCCACAGGATAGCATCACAAACACCCGGGGAAATGAGACGTAGAAAAAGAAGGTAACAACATGACCTGAAAACGCCCTTGAAGTCGGTTTTTTAAACATGGCTTTATCTATAAAATGATGTTTTTCTACTTTTTTATCCTCTCAGCTCTGGAAGATTCTTGACCTCTGGGTCAGGTTGGTATCGTTGGTATCATTATGCTTTAATATTTTGAGAAAGACACAACAGTTGATGCAAGGTGTGAGCCAAGAGTCCCGTCTTTACAAACCATACCAGAAGTAAGTCTGTGCTTCAGTGTGTGACCACTTTCCTAATGGATAAGGTGTCAGACTTCGGATCAGGAAATTGAGGGTTCGAGTCCCTTCATCTCGTAAAAATGAGTTACATATCCACCAACACTGCTAATAAAAAGTGTAATGATTCCATGACACCAAAGCACAAACTGTGATGATTGTCTCCAAACACTTGCAGGCTGCCTTTTGACCAACTGCAATCGCTCTCAGATTGATTGCCAACAAGTTGCAGTAACTCCTGGTACAACGCTGAGATGCTTTGCAATGAGAGGCTCGACTCAACTGGTTGTATTGTTTAAAAATTAAAAAAAAACCCTATGTTACTATCTGTGGAGGAATTTCTGTTTCAAATCTGTGATGTTGTAACTGGTGTGAGTTTCTGTGCATGTAGTTGGCAAAAGATCTTTGATTTTATCTGATTTATCAGCTTTTACAGCTGTATTCTCACATACTCAAACTGTCAACATGACCCCAATTAATCACAGACTGAAAGCAGATCGACTCCATCACACTGCCATTTAATCCAGGTTTATTTATATAGCGCCAAATGACAACAATAGTTGCCTCAAGGCGCCTTAACCCTCTCAAGGCAGGCGCTGCAGATTAGCAACAAGTAAAAGCTAACAACCTGATTACCGCACATACATATTTTATGAGGTTTTTTAACTCAGAAGTACCACTGCAGGTATTCTTTTGTGCATTAGCAACAAAAACTAAATTTGAGCCTGAGAGGGTTAAACCGTAAGTTTCATCACTGCCTCGACGCACCGAAGTCGAAGCAATAATTTAAAAGGCAACAAGATTGGACGTCCACTTGTTGCTGTTGTTTTCCCTGGTGTGACTGTAGCATTAGCTGTATTTTAACACATCTGCCTCACTGGGACACTGCCTCAAACAGCTCCTCCTCTACTAATGATCAGGAATAAACTGGAAAAAGGAGTTGGTTTTTGTGCTGGTTGGTGATATTTGAATACATGGACCGTTTTAAGTTGTTTTGACGGAGGAACGTCTCAATCACACCTTGAACAACAGGTTTCTGAATCAGCCGTTAAACTCTAGGCAACAAGGATTCACAGATTTTAAACTAATCTAAACCTTAAAGGTTAAAAAAATGCAATTTCTCAATTATATTTGAACTCCGATTAACAACTCCAACAAGATCTCACAGTTTTCTCACAGTTTGAAGCTTGAACAGTTCTAAATGCTTCTTTCACAGGCTTGTTTGTGCCACCAGGACAAAAAAGGAAAGAGGTGATAAATCTAGGGACAGTCACTGACAACCTCTGACAGCAGGTGAAAACTTATTTCTACTGAGGTGACACAGACTATTCTGATATGTCAATAAGAAGCTTTTCCTGTCTGTCAAACATTGTGCTACAGGTATAAAACACACACACACGCTCAGAAACAGTAGCGAGCCCGTTCCCTCTCACTCGTCATCCCGTTGGTTGAGTAACAATGACGCATCGAGGAGACATCCTCTGAAATATCCAATTAGGGAGTGAGTCAGCTGAATCTGGCTGCGTCTTGATAGGAAGTGGCCTTCATCTGGGAAGATCTGGCTCAGAAAGAGGAGAGAATTTATCTGATCTGAACAACCTCTGGAACAAATCTTGTAGTAAGCTTTAAGTTTTATTCTTCACTTTCTTCACTCAAGGTTCACTTTACTCAAATGTGCTCAAGGTTTTGACCACAATAGAAATGTCTGTCCTTGAGTCTCCTTGCTTTATAGTGACTGGACTGCAGATATCCAACAAATAAATCCTCTGAGTGCTCAAAATTTAACAGCTTAAAGTGTTGCTGCTTTGTTGATGAACAGGAGCAAAGCGCTGAATTTAGACGAGACAAAAAGAGCATCAATCCAATCGTGCAAGTATCCGATACCAATACCAGCTTTAGTATCAATACTGTCAACATCTGGATCAATCTGCCCACTCCTATCTCGTAGCTCACTTTGAAACAAGATATGTGAGAAGCTTTTATCTGTTTATCTGTCTGTGGAAGAACTAGGAGCAAATCTGTGGATCAGAGAAAATCAGGTTCCTCTACTTTCTGGGGAGATACTTAGATTTGAGTCTGGGCTTTTAGAGTGATTGCTGGCTATCACCACATGAAACTGGTTACAAAGAAGTTGCTGCACCAAAACCTCCTTGTGATTGCTTTGGTTGCTGGGAAATTACTGCAGTCGTCTGTAGTTTTTTTTTGTATGAAAGACACCAAGTTGTCAGCAAACACTCCTCAACTATTCACTGACTGTCAAACTGAAGAGTGTAACGCAAACTGGAAATAGAGAATGTCCAAGTAAAAGTTTGTTTTACCACATCACCAAACTATGTTACAGAAAGTGCAGCGTTTACTCTTCGGTTTGACAACTGCTCAGCGAATAGCTGGCAAGAATTTGCTAATGCGAAAAACTACAGACGACAGGTTGCAATTTTCCAGCAACCAAAGCAAAGGTGGATTTTTACTGACACTGTAAGACTGCGGAAGAGATGATTTACAGTATTTGCAGCTATACTTAGGTAAATATGATTGAATTGCTCTCTTGTTAACAGATGATATGCATCACTGTTTAAGAAATATGCTACCTTTGCTAGCTTATATGCTATCTTGCCTTAGCTTAATTCAAACACTGGAAACAGAAGCAAATGTCAGTCAAATGGCAGCAATACCCACCTAGCAGCATCTCTAAAGTTTGCTCATTAGTTATGTTTTTAATTATATATATTTTTTACTATAAGCATAAAAGCAACATGTTTACAGGTTTGTTCTTTAGCATATTTTCCAAAACTTAACCGTTTTCAAGTATTGTCACAAAACACATTTTTTTCAGTGAAGTTTGGCACAGAGAGGTTTTTAAAACACGTTTAAGTGAAAAATGGACCAGCTGTGACCATGCTAAGCTGTGATAAGGTAATCAGCAAAACTAAAGCTATTTATTGAATGATGGCTCTTCATAAGTACCTTTAAAGTGGGGTAAAGTGAGTTTTTAAATATTAAAAAAATTCCTAAAAGTCACACTTTTACAATGAAGTTTAGAACTCAAGTACAGGACAGCAAATCTCCTGTGCCACACTGGAGTAAATAAAGACTCTGCATAACAGTGCACTGATACATAATGGAGAATGACCCATTTTAATTAAAAGCCACAGCTGCTGTTTGCAAAGACTCTTTGTAAGAGCCGAGTGTTTACCTGCATAGTGTAGTTGGCTCCTATCTTTATTAAGTGCTTGATGAGCTCGGCCGAGTGCTGGAAGTGAACATTGGCTGCCGAGACACAAAAAAACAGGACATGCAAATAAGTGTCGGAGAGGTTAATTCCACCACTGGATAAAAGGCGCCGCACTCGCCGAGGTCAAGTTTTAAAGCTCAGCATAGCAGAGAGGCTCGTGAGACTCACGCCTACCTTCAGTAGCCCACATTACTACGATGTTATTGTGAAATGAAGTCAAATTACATCCTCCGTTTCTGCTGTTCTGTGAGGAGGATGAAGGAAATGTGCATACCGTCAGCAGTGCCGTGGACCAGGAATAGAGTTCCTCCCAGATTTTTCATGCCGGACAGCACTTTGGAAGCCTGAAGATTGGACACAAATCAAATTATTTGTCGCATTAACATCAGGTCATAACATTACAAGCATCAGAATTTGATTGAAGGGTCAAAAGTGTAAGAAAAGTTAATCGTGAAGTTTCCACTCGAGGAGGCGGATTGTAAGATCATTAACAGGAAAAAATATATAAGAAGCTAATTTTTTCTTGTTGGCTGATGCTCTCCCTGTGCAAGCTTGGCTTCATCTCACAGTCTAAAGGCATGTTAGATTAACTGGTGATTCTAGGTGAGGATGTGAGAGTGAGATGTTTCTCTGTCCATCTATCTGGGGTCTACCCTGCTCCAGATCCCTCGTGACTCTGAATTAGTTAAGCAGTAAACAGAAGCTTTAAACTAAATATACTGGAAATCACTAGATTATTAAAGCAAGTAACCATCTTCTTGATGAAAAATTATACGAACGTAGACGTGCCAAACCTGTCATTCCTCTAGTAAGCGCATCATCTCCATTCAACTTTTTAAAATGTTTACCTTTACAGTAATAAAAAGCATGTTTATAGGCCACAAACTGCCCTGTTTCCCCCTGCATGACAACTGCATGATAGGTTATTTGTCTCTTCTTCTTTGAGCTGCTCCTTCAAGGGGTCGCCACTTTGGATCATCTATCTCACGCTATGCCTGGCATCCTCCTCTGTCACACCAGCCCATCCTTCACTATATGAACCTCCTCTGAGGTCTTCCTCTCACTCCGGCGCTCCTGCTTTTCCTTCTCTTTAACTGCCTCTGAACATGCCTTCCCTCTTCAGCCAGCAGTAGCACAGTTTCCACGTCATTCCATGGTTCACATTATTGATTATCTGCTTGCTTGATTAGGTGCATATTTTACACTGGAATCCCTTCCTGACACAACCTTCTTCTTTCATTCAGTCTTGGGACTGAAACTAGGAGTACTGGTTTGTAGTCTGGCTTGTAGCCCAAAGATGCGGTAACAGGAAGGTTAAGCCTACAAGTCCTCACCTTGGCTAATCAGAGTCACTAAACTGGACCTTTACACTGCATTTGTGCTGCAGGTGCCTTTTTAATCTAATAGGAGGCTGAGGGGTAGAACCGACAGCCATCAGTATTTTTCACCCCCTGAAGCGAGGAAGTATGCAATCAGCTCCCCTTGTTTGTCTGTTTGTTAGCAGTCCAGCGTCCACAGTTTTCAGGATATTGTTGTGTGATGGTAGTTACCAACAATAGCTCAATCTGATTTAATTTTAGTGAAAATCAGGTCAGGGTCACACCAAATGTGAATATCAGTAAAAACTTTAGATTATCCACAACTTTTTATGTATCGTCTTCAAACTTCACAACAATATACCAGGACTTGGGGGACACGAGTACCTCGGTTGAGTAAAAACATTTGATGTTAGCAGCACAATGACAGTGTAACACATTGACGTCAGCATGTTGTAATGAAAACAAAGTTTCAGTGTAGCCCTTGTCCTTCAGGGTGACTTGAGCTCTCTGAGTGCTCGTGTTTCCATCTGAGGTCATTTCTTATATTTATTTAGCCTGGAAAAACTCGACCTTAGAGTTATATATGTAGTCTGCTTGAATTAAAGCCACTGAAATAAAGGCGCTAGACTCACATGATGTAACGTGAGCCACTTTAAGTGTGATGATCCCGTCTGTTGTCCTTTGCTTAAAAACTAAGCAAAAAACATTTTTTTAAACCAAGATGCCAGACTGATAGCGATCGCACTGGGAGGGCGAAGCTTTAATATTACAGGATGTCTCAGTCTCACTGCTGTCATTCATTTTGTTCCCAGCTGGAATTCAAACCCGCGACCAGCCATCAACCACGGCATGTTTTCTCACCCGTCTGCTTCTGCATCTCGGAGGACTGGGTGAGTGATGATGCCCTGCTGATTATTGTCTGATCAGATTGTGCCACATTTCCTTCTCTGGGTGACTTTTGAAGCAGACCACCCCTCCTGCTGCGAGAGTCACAAAAATAGAGCTCTCTGGCCCAGTTACAGGCAACCCACTTAGGAAGAAAAACACTCTCTGACTGCAACCTTCCCTTGGAGGACAGCTGGGTGATTTATTTATTTATTTTTAGGATGGCATTTCTCTGTTCCTAAATGTTTTCTTCTTCTTTACTGGTTGTTCTTTACTTTTAAAAAACGGGAGCTGTATAATTTGTGTTGGCTGTCTAACCTCTGCTATACTGTAAAATGTAGAAATGATTGGGAATCAAACAGGTAAAGGTGAAACCCACCCAGCCACCTGCATCATCAGCCAGCTGCATTTCCCATTAAAGTGGCTCTAAGTTTGCACTCTCCTTGGTTTCAGAGATTTGAGCTGCATGAAGCAGCCTGTACGGCTGCCAGCTTACCTCCACGCCTCGGTTTAAACACAGTAAAGATAAAAAGATAAAGGTGTCAGGTCGCAGGACATTTTATCACCAGCTGTGCTTCTTGTTTAAACACATTGCTGTCTATAAATGGAACAAGCTACAAAAAAAACTATTCTCTGATTTCGCTGGAGTGCTTTAAAGGCTCGTCTTTGTCTCCCTGCAACAACCCCAGCACACCTTTTTCTTTTTTTGTGTGTATAATGTGTCTCAATTTCTGTATATGTTTTTTGTACACAGGTCTGTCTTTTCAAAAAGAGATGTTGATCTCAATAAGACTGCCTGTTTAAATAAAGGATTTAATAATAACAAGAAGCACTCGGAGAGCACAAACCTCCGCCAAGCCGGCTCACTCTCTGGGCAATATTTACTTTTAAGGGAACAGCACTGTATTTTGTATACATTCATCTTGTTTTCTTTGTTATTTTTAAAAGTACTTTAAGCAGCTTGTAGTGCAGTAAAAAATCAGATACTGGTAGCATGAGAGATATTTACTTCACTCTCTACACTACAGTATATGCAGCTTACTCTACTTTCTTTAAGCATGTAATACTTTCTGACGTCCCCTAAAAAAGGCAGATGTGAAATGTAGATGTGAGGTCAGAGGTCAAACGTGACACGCCATCTGATGAGGGACATCCAACTTCCCAAATCCAGTCGCATTTAGCTGAATTTCTTAGCAGTGTTAATTTTATTAACTAACAAATGATAACTAAACAAAAACTGATGGACACTTTGGAGAGAAGAGATCCAATCAGAACTTATGAAGTTGTGAGCAAGGCGGGACGAGTTTGGAAGTAATCCAATCAGAAGTAATCAGACATACACATTTGAGCTGCCCTCAGGAAACGACTCAACCACCTCACGTGCTCGCAGTTTCTCTCAAAAACGCTTGGGAGGAAGAGACGAGCGGACATATGGACACGTTTCACATTTGATGGACAGGAAAATAAGATGCCGTGTGGAGGAACGCTCGTGCTACAACAATTAGTTGAATAAAAATAAAAGAGTTTAAATGCTTAAACTATGACTAAAATGAAATGAATGTAAGTCATCCATTAATAAAGAAGCAGGCGGGTAAAAGACAGAAGACGCTCACTTGGTATCTGCTCTCGTCAGTTGAAGGTGAGCCGAAGTATCTCTCTGAGAAGGCTGAGGCTGAAGGGGAAAAGGGAAATCAAAGAGGTTACATGACGTCAGCAGCAACCTGAGAACTTTACATAAAAAGTGCTGCATGGATCTTCTGGAGGATCTGACAGATCAGTGGCACTGGAATAAGCTAGAAGCCACACATTATGTTAGAGGACACATTTGAAGTTTATTATTCGAGCATATTGGCAAAAAACAAGTTGAAGTCTTCTTCGACTCATGCTGGAAGAACAGTCGGAGGTGGAAAGGCGTCTTATTTCTGCTTTTTACGAGTGAAGACAGACAGAGAGAGACGCTTTCTTTGAAGCAGAGGCTTTGCAGCAACACTTCAGTCTATTAAACTCTACTCACAGCCAGCAGGAAGTCCTGAGCTGTACAGGAGTGCTAACGCCCAGCATTCCCTCCCAGAACTGACGAGAACTTTTTCATCTTTAAATGTAATAACCCTGAATTCCCGAAAGCGAACGCAAAGGATAATTAAAGTGACATTACCCCGGCAGTGCACATGAAAAAGATTGTGCAGGACAAAGATGTTGTGTTCTGAGAAATGACTAGCCGGGTTCAGCAGCAGCAGCAGAAGTAATAAATATTTCCGCGTCTCTGGAGCGTTGTACTAAAGAGGGTTCAAATTCCTGCTCACCGTACATGCTCCAGTCGGTGACGGGAGCGCAAACAGCTGCGCAGCTGATCAGCTTCTCTGTCGACTTCAGCATCATCAGCGCAAGGTAGCCACCGTAGCCCTGCAAGGGAGACATTAGAGGAGCGTCACTTGCACCGAGAAAACACAGGACGTTTCTATCGTGTTTACACAGCATCAAAAAATGGCAGTCTCTGCATGGATCTGTACTTCATTACATTTATATATGGTCTCCAGCAAGAGCAGCTGGCAGCAAGAACTGTTGAAATATCTTTAACAAACTAATAAAGAAAGGCAAAACTAAATTTTAGGGAATAATGTGTAATTTAATTGGGTTTTTGTGGTATTAGTGGGCTGTTCTGGGTTTAAAAACAGGAGCATTATATTACAAGTAGCTCAAAGAGTAAATACACTGCTCAACATCATCCAGTGTGGCCCGTTTGGCAGTGATGGTTTGGGGAGGCGTATCCTTGGAGGGTCACACAGAGCTTCATGTGCTAGCTAGCGGTACCCAGACTACTCAGACCAAGAGAAACTCCTGTTCCTCCTGGTACAGGTCATAAACAAGTCTCCTATGGCCAGAACCTTTAAGTAGTCCCTGGATGACAAATGCATGATGACAAATGTTGCCTCCTAATGAAGGGCCACAAGTGCCAAAATGAATTAACTGAGTACATCATTAAATCATTCATTTAAGGTGTCATTAATAAATAATTACATTTGTAAATGAAAAATTATTTAAATATACAAATAATTAATATTAAGTAATTTCATTTAAAACAGTTAATACAGCATTTATTATTTTAATTAATTATTATTAGATTCAATTATAATTTAATGAGGAATTTAATTACCTCAGTACATCAAATAAATTCATTTGGCACTCACAGCCCTCCATACTCCAGTGCACCTCTTTTTCTTTTGTACCAAAGCGGCTGAAATGGATTCACAGTGGTTTCTACTTCTTAAATAGGCAGACTGAAGCTTCACTGAGTTGTTATAATTAATGATGGCAGAGTACATTTTCACCATGTTTTCTTTGTAAAATCTCATTTCCTCTTTTTTGTGGGATTAATTCACTGGATGAGGAGGAAACAGAATTCAGAGTTTTGACTGGGCAGCCACTACAGTTACTGTACCGATCACACGTGTATTCAGGGTTAGGTCAGGGCGTGAGAGACTAACCTCGCCGAAGACTCCAACACGAGTGCGATCGATGAACGGCCGCTCCGCCAGGAAACTGAAAAACACAGCGGCTATTTTTAACGAGTGGAGAGGAAGTGGGTATCAGAAAGCAAGAGAGGTAATTATAACTTTATATTTCATTTCACACATCACACACTCTGCTGAAGCTACATAAGGAAGGTCAAAGGTCAAAGCCGTGAGAGAAGTTTTTGAATGCAAATTTATGTTTTCCAGAAATATTACTATTCATAAAGAAATAATTTTTTTCTTTACATCTCCCAAAGTTTTGAACAAAGATCACTTACACAAAACCCAATCCAAACAACCCAACAAATCCAAAAAAAAGGGGAAAAAGTGGAAAAAAGAACAATTAAAAGGTTTAATTATTTTAAGAAACAGTGACAAGCTCTAAAATGTCCATTTCAAAGATGTTTAGAGCTCATAAAACAAGCACCTTTATATCCAGAAAACTGGAAACAGAGATTCGATTGATTTTCTTCTGTTCACAAACTCAATTAGTTGCTTCGGGCCAAGGAGTTATGTTTTCAGTAGCATTTACATGTGTGCTTCATTCTGTCTGTAAACATGAACGCTCTTAAGGTTTAAATGAATTTTGATAAAACTCTGTAGGCGAGTAAGGTGCACTCATATTAACAAGTCATTAAAATTAGCCTTAAATCCATCGAGGTCTTCAAGGTCAACTTACTGGTCGAAAAATGACAAAAAGCCTTAAAACACAGAAACTATGATTCTCACAAGTTTGGTGTGTCGTCAGTACAGAAAGTAACATATAAAGGTTTAAACCTCAAATCACATTTGACCTCTGACCTCTTCTTCAAGGTCAACAGATTGAGCTGAAAGTCAAAGTGATCATTAATGTTTCTTACTGCCATATCGTGTATTGACAGCATATAGACATGCAGGGAATGACAAACAGGAGGATTTTAAATATATTACGTTACTTTGGAACTCTGACAAGTTTATTGAGGTCAAACTTTCTTTGTTTGTATCAGCAACATTTAGGAAAGAATTATGAATATCCTACAAATATCGTGTCACATCTGACCTCTGACTTCACTCTGACCTTGGGTTTTATGGCACTACATACTTCAAACTTCTTAAAATAATTTTAAAAATAACAAAGAAAACGAAATGAATATATACAAAATACAAAGCAGCACTCAGAAGCTTCTTGTTATAGATCATTTAAGGGTTTTGCTTTGCTTTTTAACTTTTTTAACGTATGCATCTTGTTTATGTTTTCCCGCCCAAGAACACCACAGAGTCATCTGCGAAGCTCTGACAAAATCTCTGTCTAACAGAGAAATGGTACTCCAGGGTGGACGCTACGTACTTCAGAGCTGCTATGTAGTCCTCCACGTCCGCTATGCCGAGCCTCTGCTGTGAAAAACTGCCAGAGGACAAAAGACAAAGAGACTGTGAGGTCAGAAAGGACTGAAACAACTTCTGTTACTAAAAAAAACAAAAACTGTTACCTTTGACCTCTGAACCCTGACCCCCTGCCATCAATCCGCGCCACGATGACCTGCGCCAATCCTGCCAGCACCGAGTCCCACTCCAGCCTGAACTCCTCCGTCACCGTCTGGGTGCCTGGAGAGCTGTCGCTGTCGGGAAGGTTGTTTTACTCACATCAATGTACTGACTCTTAGATCCGGACATATTTGTAGTTTACTGTGTGAGAGTGGCGCTTCACTGAAGCATTTTGACCCTTGGCCCTGACCCATTTTTGCTCTAATGGTCACCATAATTTACAAAGTGAGCATCATGCTGTACTGAGAAAGACTTAAAACTAGCCACCGAGGGCATAAACCCTGAGAAAAATGTTAACTAAGGACATAAATGAAGGGAACTGAAGGTCGTTTAGACTTCTGTATAACCACGTCTTTCTGAAACCAGTCCGCATGTATATAAAACTGCAGGTTGATTTTAGCTATGACATTTACATTTTTCTCAAACATCCATTTTCATCTCCACAAATGTGTCCGACAGCCTGCAGCTACACTGCAGTTCCATTTTTAGCTGTCCTCACAGAGTCTGGCCTTTGAAGCTCACAGTGCTGCGATAAAATAAAATAAAAAAGGCAAATGTAATAAAGTGGAAAAGGCTTACACAATAAGAAGAAGGCCGTAGATGTAGGAGTCAGAGAAGTCAGGAGGATAGATGAGCTTCAGAGGCAGCCCTGTGAGAAGACATGCAGAAATATTAGCTGGAGACGAGGCGAGGATAAAAAAAAGATGCACGCACAGACACACAAACATGACGACAGGTGCACAGACTCAAACACGCTCGTGTCATTTACTCTCGGAGTGGCTCAATTATCTCATGAAGCTCACACACTAGCACAGCTGTTAAGTGCGGATAATTTGTACCAAAGGTTGTGTTAGTGATCTCCGTCCGAATCATCCTTTTAGTCTCCAGCGCCGAGCGCAGGGGGAGGTTGTTCTCCAAGACGAAATACGCTGTGAAGAAGAAATCATGTTTATCAGAGTGCAACAAAGCTGTTATTAAGACGAGAAAAATCATTAAAAGGTGCTAAGAGGTCCAGGATGCTCAGAGCGGAGCAGTTAATTCTCTGAGTGTTTTTCTATCAAGACTTCATCGACTGCTGGTTATTACGCCACTGTTATTTTTACACAATAAAAAGAAGTCATGACTTGACGTTGCTATTCACGAGCTATATCTCAGACTCTACAGGTCTCAGTTAGCATGATAAACGTTCAAGTTCATGACTTCTGGAACAATGTCCTTTGGAAAGAAGAGACCAAAATCGAGATGTTTGGTCAGAAAGCACAAACTCAAACATCTGATACCAGCTCCTAAAATGTGGAACAATTTCTCTTCTCTGTTCGTTTTTAAATCTGCATCTTCTCCTTTGGTTCATTGTGGTTGTTTGTAAAGTGCTTTACAAATAAAGTTAGTATAGTATGGTAGTTTTCACTGTTACCTCCTGTGGGTGGAAAAACCCAGCACGTGACTCTCTGTTCTCACCAAATATTGACCCTGATAGAGGATGACCCCTACCTTCAAACAGCTGTGTTTAGAGATCAGAAGATCGCCATGGTGTTTTTACTTATCTCAGTTGAGGGTCTGCAGACCGAGGCCGCTGCATGTAGCATAGATTATGAGCCTGCTTGAGTAAAATGTAAAACTTGCTAATGTTTATCCAACTACAACACAGCCGATATCGTGGCTAGAAAGACTAAACAGTGTCATAAATAGATGCCTCATACAGGAGGTGTCTATTAAAAGGTACACGACACTCATATGCGAGTTTGTAATGAGCAGCTAATTGTGTTGGTGTTTTTCCATCAGGTCCTCATTGATTAATAGCAAAAGCTCTAACTTGCAGTTTTATTAACATGCTCACAGTTTCTCATTTGAGCTTTGCCTCTGATGTATGATTGATCAGCTAGAAGAGTTCAGAAAGTTCATTACTGTATGGATTACAGGGAAAAACCTGCAGTGTAAGACTGGTTTACTGATGACCATGAACCAGACCAACCAGTAAATATTTTCTGGCTTGGCAACACATCAAAATCACCTTTGAGGAGAAAAACACTCACACCTGCAGTTCTCTCCTAAAACACCACATAGGCCTCAATATAACATGACCCTGCTTAGAATATGACCACTCACCTTCTACCTGTTATTTAAGGAAAATGTCCTTTTACAGGAAACCCTTTACACTCATTATTTGAGGAGGATTCCCAAGATGCTATTACTGCAAAGCAGGGTCTTATCAGAGGGATGCTTCATTAGTCACTCTTCCCAAATTACCTAATACAAAATGTTTTTTGAGCGTGTTTTCACCTTTTTCAAATCAGTCTGAGTGCAGCTGGTGCAGATTGTGAAACCCCCGCGAGAAAGATTTGCCGTTTGTAATACTGGACTATAAAAATCACAGACTTAACTTGACAGCTGTCACTCTTGGCTGTTTAATTTCTCTCTGCTTCATTTATGCAGCAAACGCACTGGGAGACCTTCAGTCGTAATTCATCTATTTTCTATGTGGCTGCAAAACGCACCAGGCTTCAGCAAAGGCTGCTGGGTAAACTGGCTATAAATCCACTGTATGAACAGGCTGAAAGCATTTGCTGATAAGCAACATAAATAATCCATATTGCAGACCAGTCATGGTGGTGTTCTCTGATAAACTATACCTGATTTCTCATACCGCCTCCCCCCCAATCTTATTTCTAAGGAAAACTTGCATAAGGAAACTTGGTTGATTGTATATCAAAGGTGAATTTGCTCCTTTCTTCTCCATCCTCGAGCCCTCTGACAGAGTCCACCTCAAACAGGCATTAGAAGAACTACAGTTTTTGGTACTTCAGCTGTGGATTTATTTTTCAGCCCTGGACCTTCAGTGGGTTCTTGTCTGCCCCCATAGTCTCCAAGTGCCACGGCAAGTGGCAGTAATACACTCACTGAGAAGCAACAGTGAGCTTGGTGATGTTTTTTAAACATGCATGTTTTTTTTGGAGAAAGTTGATCCTCTCACGACAAGCATCTGGTTTGTTATCCCTGAAAACTTCAGCATTTGGAAGAATTTCTCACAAAAGGAACCCCAGAAAACATAACTACGTTTGTTACTTCAGCCTGACTTTAACACAACACAATGTGGCTCGACACGACGAGGCTGCCCTGTAGCATTTTGAGGTGATTTCTCCTAAAAACAGACACATGGAAACTGTTACTATACTTTAATTCAGCTTTTAATTCCTGCTTTTGTGTAACGGAAAATTCTGCAGCTCATGTGCATTTGAAGAAGCACAAGCACACGGCCAAGCAAAGGTGTCACTGCCGCGACTGTGCATGAAGTTGGTGACCTCTCCTTTCACTATGTTTGTAGAAGCAGTCTGCACAGCTAGCTGCTTGATTTCATCCACCTGTGGCCATGAAGGTGACTGGAACACCATGGCTGAGTGAATACTTTTGGAAATGTAGTGTAGGTGTCCTCTCTCTGGCATTCTATCAGTGCACCACTAACTTACACAGATGGTATCCAAATCCACTCTTTCACAATCTTTTAATGAATTCCCCTTGCAGCCCCGCTGATGATTAGCTCTTCTAAAACACTAAGCGATGACACCCGCCCGTATAAACTGTGATACAAAGACGTTAAACGCCTCCAAAATGCAGAAATTATCAGCGCAGTCTGGCACCAAATCCAGCAGCTGCTCATGTTTCCACACAAATGAGATGATGTCGCCTAATTGCAGAAAACTATTTTCCATTTCAGAGCAGAAGTGAGAAAAAAGCACATCTGCCCGCCCACACAAACATCGCACAAACACCATCAGGCGGAGTAAAGACTCCACTCACAGTCCACGTCGGCGAGACTGACGAGCAGCACAGCTGGAACTCCGGGACCTGCGATGGGAGACAGAGAGAGAGAGAGAGGGAGAGAGATGACTGTGTGCTTGTGAATAAAAAGCTCCATGCTGATGCAGCCTGCTTTAGGTTGTGTTTTGACCAATTATCAGTCATGCAAAAGCAAAAAAGAACAACTTATTCTGAACATCAGGAGTATTTTTATTTTTATTTCTGCAGTTGTTATGCGATTAAAGCAAAAAGAGTGAAACTGGAGATTTCAATCAGGTTTAATTCTCTCAGCCAAGCTCTAAATGCAGCTTTCCTTTGCATTTGCCATATTAGAAAGTAAAAGTGAACAATGTTGTCGATAGATGGTGTTGTCTGGCTTTAGATTGAGTGCGTTATTTGTCTGGAGAAATAAACTAGCATGGCTAGCATGGAGCCAAAGAAGCCAAAAAGCCAACCGGAAACCAAACATGCCTTCAGAGGGAAACAGAGGCAGCAAGAATGAGCACATTTTATGAGCTAATGAAGCTTGTTGGCATGTGATTGACTGTTGTGATAGGCTGCAGCATCACATGTTGCTCCTGAACCAAAGAAAACTGTAGGCATCATAAGTGAAAGTGGCATCATTTCACAACACGATCAAAAAGAAGAACCAGAATAAGGCTGCTTCCTGTTGCTATAAAAGCAAGCATGCAGTGTATCGTGGACAGCTTTGGGTGCAGAAAATTTGGAAACCACTGGAGGTTTAACAGACGTCTGGATCACTGATTTAAAAATGCAAACAGGGCTTTATAGTTTTATAAACAACACAGTGAGCCAAACAACCTCTGCTCCAGGTACCCAGATTAGTTCTAGTGTATGACGTCTGTTAAAAATGTAAAATAAAAACAAGTGTTTTTGATTTACACTGGAAAATCTAATTCAATTATAAGATTTTACATATGGGGACATAATACAGTCATGTGTTCCTCGCCAGGTTCTAAAGTTACTTAAATAAAACCTCAGATGAACAACAGCACGACATCTTACACTGTGTCATTATTTAACAAGAACCAAAATGCTGAACCTAAGCAGCATCACTGTGAAGGACACTTGGTCCAATCAATCAATCAATCAATCAATCAATCAATCAAGGCTTTATTCGCCACGTGCAGGTTGCCCTGCAGTGAAATAGGACTCCCCCGACTTTACACACACAACACAGACATCACATGGGGATACAGGTCGGAGATCGGTAGCGTTACAGAAAAAAACACTGAAATATACACTACAATGGGAAAGTACAAGAGGAAAAAAAGATATCCTCTACTCATGCTGGGCTCCTGGGAGGACAGCATGAGAACAGGAAACAAAAAAAACTAATGGGGATGGGGTCCATAAATAGATAATGCCCAGAAGGAGCGTGGTCTCGCTCCTTAAATTCAGATAATTTATCTCCAATTATCCCAGTTCATTGAGGTTCATGGACAGCTCTCTTAAGATCCCACCAGAGCATTACAGTCAGGCTGAGGTGAGACGTTTGACTGAATCATTGCAGCAGCTGTAGATCTGCTGCTATGGTTGGGATCATTGTCCTGAGTCCACGGTCGACTCAATGAACGCAAGGTACCCAGATCATGAGCCCTCCACCACCGTGCTGACAGCTGGTATGAGGTCTTTGGTTTTGTGCATCCTGACCAAACATTTCTACTTTGGTCTCGTCTCTCAAAAACACATTGTTGCCGAAGTCTTGTGGTTTGCTCAGATGCAGTTTTACAAACCTGCTGTTTTTAGAGAGAGGAGGCTTTCTCCTGCTAAACCTTCCAAAGAAGCCATACCTGTCCCATCCTTTTCTACTTTGACTGTCATGAATTTTAACATTTAACATGCTAACTGAGGCCTGATAGAAAGCAGAAACACTTTCATTCCTGTGAAAGCAGTGAGGTGATCCATGCTTGTTTTACACACTGTTTCTGCATTTTGGCTCAGTTTCTGTTAAATAAATAATTACACTGTGCAATAAATCATGTTGTTTCTCATCTGAGGACCAGATGGTTTCTCATTAAGCCCCCATATATAGAGTTTTAAAACTGAAAGAGGACTTCCCTCTTCACACATAACTCTTAATATTTCTCTATTCAAACGTTGTCTTTCATGGCGTAAAGTCTCACCGTGTGTTACAGCCTCTGCCGGTCAGAACTCATAAGCTCAGAAAGAGTGCTCATTAACACTCTGTCATTAAAATGCCAAATCTTGCTCACACGAGACCTCATAATTTGTGTGTGTGATGCTTCCCCAAGCGGGATGTGCATCGACCCTCTCTGACCTTGACAGTGCACGATGGCGTGCTGTGCGTCTGGGCTGACGTTGGCATCGAAGAAGGTGCATCCCTCTCGCAGTCCACAGGTGAGGCATCGCCGTGGAAACGAGCTGAGAGTCGACACACTGTCAGAGGAAAGGGGACAAAATGTTTACCGAGCCTCACACGCACACACACAAAGGCTGGGGGAATAAGGCTTTAAGTGTGTGTTTCACCTGTATAGGTGTCTGTGTTCTGCAGCGTCCTTTGTGCTCAGGAAGTATCTGTGTGAAGGAAAGCAGAGCAGCTAAAGTAGGACAAGGTCACACATCCATTATCCATCCGCCTGCACTCGTCTCTGTGTCCGCCCAACCGTAAGTAAAGATCTGTGCTGTCATGAAACTGGCAGCTCACAAAGCACTTGTTGTTTTCTCACGTTTATCTCCTCCTCCTCAATGAAGCTGAATTATTATTATTAACAGTGATAATGGGAAAAAATAAATAAGACAGAAAGAAGAGTTTTTATTCTGTTTCTTGGTTGGAAAATGAAAAAAAGGCTTTTCATCTAGAGAAAAATTAGGCTTTTAGCAGGAGTGTTTTTCCTTTCTCTCATCGTCTACTTTACATCTGAGCCACTGCTTTCTGAGTCCAGCGTTATAATTACAGCCTGGCAACGAAAGGCCACACAGTCTGTGTTAAAACATTCATTTTTGTGGCTGTATGAGAAGCGTCTTAACATCTTCCTCTCAAATATCAATCAGTGTTTGCTGAGACAACACGGGTTATGATTTTGTTTGAGTCTTACACAGTCTGGTTGTTTTCGTCGTACGCCACAATTTTTGTCACCTCCCAGTTTCCCGACGTCAAGTTGCGTACTTCGTCCTGGTCGCTTCGCAGCTGAAAGACAAACAGTTTGATGGAAACATGCTGAAGTGAAAACAAAGTGAAGAACTGATAAGACTTGGAGTCTCTCATCCCAGACTGGTTAGTTAGGAAATGCACTTTTAAACGACTTTGATGAAGTTACTTCATGCTGTCTGAATATTATTATCTTTGTTTCTGGCATTCGACTACTATTTTGACAAAGATAATCATTTTTATTGACAGTGAAGTTTAGAAATTTCTTTGTTAATGTTCATCCTTTGCCCATATTTAACTGGTGTATGGATTTGGATGTGTGTGCTTCATATTGTTTTGTGCAGCCTATGATTGTACTGCTGTCCTTGTTTGCAAGGACACTCATGACAAAAGAAACTTTTAATCTCAAGATTATTTTTTCCTTGTGAAAAGAAGGTTAAATAAAAAAATTAAGTCTGGGGGTTGTGTATTCAGGCTCCACATTACATAAAAGTTAAAAACTGATTTGCATGTCACTGAATAAATAAGTATTTGATCCCCAATCAAAACAAGAGTCATGTGGTAAGCTGTTTCCTGTTGGTCACCAGGTTTGCACACATCCCAGGAAGTGTTTTGGTCCACTCCACATTACAGAAACTCTCTAAACCCTTTACGTTTTTTGGCTAAAGCTCAGCAGCTTCAGCTCTATATAGTCTGAAGTCTGGTTAGACTACTCTTTTATCACAGTGTGCTTCTTCTTTAGGCCGTCCTTTGGTGCTTTGGTGATATGTTTTGGGTCAATGTCTTGCTTGAAGAGCCATCCATGACTCATTTTCAGCATCCTGGCTGAGGGAAGCAGGATCTCATGAAGTCGTATTGTACAGTTACCATGTTTCCACGTGGGGGATGGTGTTCTTTGAGTCTTCAGATTTCAGTCAGTTACAGCGTAGTGTGTCACCAACGGCATTACCAACTGACTTCAAATAATTATTTAAATCAATAACATACAGATCAATTTATAACGTTTATATAATGGTGTTTCTGGATTTTTGGTCGATATTCTGTCTCTCTCCAATTAAACATTTGGTGCCAGCCCCGATTCTGTACCTCCTCTTTCTTGACAGTTGCAAATATGCAAATATGCGTTTTATTGTGAGAATTGTTTCCTTTTTAGATCCAACCCATCTGTATCCCTGATTTTTTCTTTATTAGCAAAGCAGCACAGTGACAGCTGTCTGTATACTACAACCTTCAGCGATGCCAACAAGGAAAAAGAACTCAAAACAATTGAAGAACCTAAAGTAAATTAGATCAATTTTTAAGCTTCTGTGTATTAAATGACCATTTTTTAAAATGTCCTAAAGTTTCATATAAAACTGAGCTGATAATTGAAGTTCAGTGACCTGCGAATGCAGTTTGTTTCATTGCATCTTACACATCATGTGAAATTACACAGTTATAAGAGCTTCTGTTCTTAACATTAATTCATAAAAATCCAGATTGTATTTTTATTTTAAAGTGGCCCTACTATGCTCATTTCCAGGTTTATATTGTGTGACTCTAGCAGCGTATTTTTTACATCATTCAAAGATCTACATAATCATTCTGTGGACCTTGGTGATGACCTCACTTTAAACCCAGCTTTCTTCTGATTTGTAGCCATTAATAAATAAATAAAGTGTCTAAACAGCAGCTGGGTTGAAAAGATGGTCTTAAACTGAGCGATTAGAGGATGACATTATTAACATAGACTAATCTAATCACACTGCAAGAACCCAGTGCATTTAGACATGCAGACATGATCAAGACGACTTAATGAGGTTCAACCTGAACATCAGAATGGAAGAACGGTGACTTTGAGCATGACACAGTTGTTGATCTAAGTATTTCAAAAAGAACAGAAAAAAAGAGAAAATGTTCAGTTCGCTGAGTTAAAATGCTTTGTTGATGTCAGAGGTCAGATGAGAAGGGCCAGACTGCTTTCAGCTAATAGAAAGGCAACGGTAACTCAAATAACCACTCATTACCACCAAGGTATGCAGAAGAGTATCTCTACAGCAGCAGAAGACCACTCCTGTCAGCTAAGACCAGGAAACTGAGACTACAATTCACACAGGCTCATTAAAATTAGACAACAAAATATTCAAAAAACATTGCCTGGTCTGATGAGTCTGTATTTCTGCTGTAACATTCAGATGGTAGGGTCAGAATTTGATCTAAACTACATGAAAGCATGGAGCCATCCTGCCCTATATCAGTGATTCTGGCTTCAGGTAGTGTAATGGTGTGTGGCTGTACTCAAAGGGCCTCCATATTTACAAGATTTCAATCCAGCAGAGCACCTTTCGGGTGTGCAGCTGACAAATCTGCAACAACCGTCTGATGCTGTCAACATGCACCAAGCACCTTGTTGAATCTGTGACTTGAAGAATTAAAGCAACTCTGAAGGCAAGAAGAGCATACAACCTGACAGCTGCAAGGTCTACCTAATGAAGTGGCCAGTGAGTATATATCCAGAAAATAAGGAGAAGGCATAAATGGTCCACTTTAATTACTAGTAAATTCCAGCTTAATGTGTACATGAAAGGGAATATATTTTTAAAGCTCTTTTGAACATTTTATTTCATCATGAAAAAATAGTTTCCTCTCAGGATAACCAAAACCGTTTAATCTTAAATATAACATTTCAATAAAATATTTAATTAAATATAGTTCAGAAAACCTCTGCAACATAAAAGGTTTAAAGGGTTCCAGACGGGATTAAATTTAAATTACTTGTGATTAATTACATAATTTCCTTAGGGATTAATAAAGTATTCTGATTAAATAAAAACTGTGGTTGGGATTAAAATCAAAGCCAAGTAACGGATGAAACAGTCGTCCTACTCTTATCCGGTCCTGGCGACACCACTTGTGGCGAGGACGTGGAGAAAAGAGCAGAGTGTCGTCTGTAAATCACCTTCTTGGTGAACATCGTGATGTGGTGGAAGTCTCCGTGACCTCCCTGCTTCACAGGCAGCGTGAGGAAAAACCGGCTCCTGTCCTTGGAGAACAGTGGATCCTGTCCCTGCAGAGAGAAACTCAAGACTTCAGAGGTCACATTCTTCACGCATGGACGCATCCTGCTGCATGCTGACTCAGCAATACAACACAGTCCAAAAATAAGCTACGCATATTTTTATCGATGGATACGACATTAAAGGAGGCGGCTGTGCAGGAGATTTAACCTTCACGTCTCGCCTACTGTGAAAACTAACCCGCCCCATGAGTTAAACCCCTTATCCAAGCACAGGGGATGCTCCTGTATGCACAAACCTTGAAAATCTATCTTTATTCATTATTCTTGCAGGCTTTTACGCTATAATGCACTTATTCAAGCATTAAAAAGAATGCCAGTAACACAACAAAAAAAACATTACGCCATTTTCACACATCCACAGGAACCCTGGACTTTTCTAGACATCATATAAATGAGGAGCATGTGAGAACACAGATGTCAAACACGGTCAGCTCATACTTTAAATGGTCTTTAACCTCCGATGTCTCTGCTACAATGTCCTTGTGATTGTCAGGTGTGAATGGGCGTCACGTGACCTGCCTCTTGTCCAGAGATGCCCCCTCCCCTGAACCACACTGATCATTTCCAGTCCTACAAACATGTCTAATTGTGTAATAAAGACAGCTCTGGACAAGGTCTGAGTGCAGAAGCCTGTCCGGTTAGTTTTGTAACCTTGAAATCTGGTCCTTTCTAATGCTGCCATGAATGTTTGCAAGTTAAAGCTAAGACTTATCACTTGTGTGGTATTCACGGTTTGATTCCACATATGGGACACTGTGATAAATGTGTGCATTCAGACTTACCTGTCTGGAAAGCCACGTCTCTGAAGACTCCTCATGTCTCTGCATGAAAGAGCAGGAAATAAAATCCAAGGTTTGACACAGCTTGAATCATGTGTCCATTAAACGTCTCTGTAAGGTTAGGTATGGTTATGATTTCTGAATATTCCTATAATTACTTAAAAGTATAATAATTTATGCAACTATTTCTTCACTTGTTTTTTTATTAACACTTGTTAGGATGTAATGCACCAATCTCACCAGAGGGTGGGAGTAATGTGCTTCAATGTCACTTAATAATAATAAAAGAAGAAGAACACGCGAAGCACCAGTGCGGGCCACACTGGATGCTACTATACAGAAAGCAGAAACACGGAAAGTTAAAGGTGACGACAACGGTCAAAAAGTGTGAAACAACTGAAAAATAAAAATGAAGTTTTTAAAATGTCATCTGGTAAAGCTAGCATTAGCATGTCATGTACCTGTCACAGCTACACACTGTTATGGCTGCAAAAAGGGGCTAGTAGATGAGGGGAGCGTTTTTTATCAAAACAAAGGACGCCAAACTAAAACACATAAGTACAAACACAAGTTAGTAAAAGTGGGTCATACTCTTATAAGTACTACATTTACTCTCAAGTTATGTTAAATAAGCCACGTTTCATAGCCCCCCCTCCCCCCACTAGGCATCAAAATCACTTAATATACTTCAGGTAGAAATAACATGATCATATTATTATATTATTAATAATATTATATTATTACAGTACTTCACTCATTAACTATTATTGTGAGTATAGTAATAACACGTACAGCGATTTATCACCTTTTATTAAACTGCAAATTAGATTTAGTCAGTATCTGTTTTATTCTGTAAGATAAAGTTATCTCACTTCAGGTACTGAGACTGTGAAGCACACCAACGTGGTAACTGAAACCAGCCATAAATGTTGCCATGAGAGAGTCAGTCTACAATCACTGTGGTATTAAATGGGGTCAAGTTGGCAGTTATATGCAATCTGTTTATGATAATAACAGCATAATTAACAGCATAATTATCAGCAATTAACTCTGATAAATCATTGCACATCACATATCTGTTGCTGTCTACATGGAAAGAAATGAATATCTAACTATCACATTTGTGCTCAGCAGCCTTCCTGTTCTGTAGGAACATTACCAGAATGCAAACTGCTGGCAGCCACCAATGATGTTACCAACAGTTCAATCACCAATTCAATACAATCGTCTTCTTGGAGATGTGAGGAGGTTGCTGTCCTATTTTTACTTGTGCGACTAAGCTATTAGCTTGCAGTCAATCAATCAAGTGTTTTGATTGATAGATTTTTCCCACCCCTACCAAAGACTGTAACAACGGTTTTGAGAAGCTAAAGGAACTTACCAGTAGGTCTGAAAAGAGTTTTAGGCTATGCCCATCAGTGCAGTCCACCACTGCCATCAGCCTTAGAAGGCAGGGAAGACCAAAGACTGTTTCTATGCCAAACTGGACTTCTCCGTGTCTGATAAACTGGACTTTATGTCACAGAGATTGGTCATTCTTCCAAACCATCTGCCAAGCTGCCAAACCAAAATCCACAGAGCATAACCGCTTTTCACCATCTTTAAACCCGTCTGACAACAACTCCATTTTTATCAGTCCATCCAGTTTTGGATGTGTGGAGGTGAACGTCAGATACCTATGATTTCAGTTTTAGAACCAAATGACCACATTTATGACAGTTTCTCCATCTTGGGTCTTGACAAATGAATGCCAGTGTTCTTTATTCACAGAGAGCGCAAGTGGGAGCAGGCATGCTTAAAGCTACTTTGGTGTATCGGTGGACTCATCGGCCACGTGGCGGCCTGATGCAAAGTCGACACTTAGAGAAGTTCCAGTGCTTTCTGGCACATAGTCCTCACCTAGCAGCAGCTCACACTGACTTGCACTGATTGAAGTGTGCACCATTACAAGCACAGCACCATCTGCCTATAAGTCCTGGCAAAGGGTCACAGGCTTGTAAAGTGGCAGCTTTGATCTTCTTATAGTCAAGACTGCAGCAAAGAGCTTCTGCCACTTTACAATTTACTCTGTATCAGAGTGGCCTACATGCCTCAGTGTCACAAAAGACTGGGACTCGCTGACTGTATATATCTGACTGTAAATAAAGAAAAGCAGAACAGCTGGCCCTAAGAGAGTAAAATAACAGTACAACTTTAATGAGTCTGATTCTTCTCAACTCACAGCAGTGCTTTGGGGTACACTTAAGTAATCTGCTCTGTATGCGGACAATGAAACTCTGAACTAAGTTTCCTTCCTGAGGTTTAAATCAAAAGCACTAACCTGAAGACAGACTCCTATTGTTGCGTCACACACAGTAAGCAGAGAAGCGTTCTGGGGCCGATTGAGCCACTGCACGACGAGGTGAGTATTACTGATCCACTTCACCATGGTGATATAGAAATCCCTGCAGAGAAGACACAGAGAGGAGACTCGAATTGTGGATTTTACACCTTTCTGTGCCAGCCCGAGCTTATGTTTGTGTGTCGTCACCTGAGCGCGAGCTGATCGGGAGGCTGCATCTCCTGAGTGTGCGTCGCACCAACCAGGCTGACCACCGACAGCTTGACTGTAGGATTGACGTGACCGGCCTGATGGGACGGACACAGAAACATCCCCTAAAATCAGCTTTTTAATTTAATGTACATAAGACGAGACTGTGGTGTTGACATCTATACATAAAAGCAGAGAAAAAGTCTGAATAATTCATTTAAAATGAAAAGACAATGCTATAGATCACAGAGAGAATATGCAAGCTAACACCAAATAAATAACTGTTCATGACTTATTTCCACAAATTCTACTCTTCCACATAGCAGATTTGTGCATCCTCAGTTGTACAATAACTACAGCTGTGGTCTTCAGGTCATAGGATCATTTAAACGGTCAGACATATCATTGGTTGGGGAATTGCTGGTATCACGTGTACAGTGAGAAATTAATTCCCAAAACTCTGAGACAAAACAACAATCAACAAATCATCTAAAAAACAGGGAGATAATTTGTTTGTATGAATGTTCAGCCAACTTCCGAGTTTAGCGCTTGTGGGTTGAGTGCAAACGTGTCCATAAGTATTGATGCGTTCAGTATAAATTCAAGATATCACGATGGGAATGACAACACCAATTTCAAAAAAGTTTGGATGCTGTGTCAAATGTGAACAAAAACAGAACACACTGATTGCAACTCTAAAATAGTAACTTTTGCCAGCTCATTAGGTTCATTGGCATCACGTCAGTGACATGATTGTGTATAAAAAGAGCATCTTTAAGAGGTAGAGTTTAACAAATCTGAAAAAACCCTGCATCTTCAACCTGTGGACAGATTTCAGAATAATGTTCCTCTACATAAATGTGACTTTGAATATCTCATCATCTATGGTGCATAATATCATTGAAAAATTCAGAAAATCTGGAGAAATCTCTGTGTGCAAGGACAAAGCCCAAAATCAACACGGATGCCTGTGGTCTTCGGGCCCTCGGGCAGCACTGCGTTAACAACAGGCATGATTCTGTCATCGAAAAACTGCACTTTAAGGTAATTACTTACAGTAAAATAATTTAAAATGATTCCACCTGAGCCAGATGTGCAGAGCAGTGACTTACTGCTACTCTGCTAATCTAAGGTTATTGATGTGGCATTGCCTTTTCCCTCTGGTATATTTAGATTTAGCTGTGTATTAGTTGAAGGATGAAAATACTGCAAAGAGCCTTAAAGAAAGCGACTGTCTATTCCTCAGAGCCCAGCCTCACCATTGGATATGGGTACTGTAGGCCTCGGGGGTACGTGCTGCCGGTGAACTGGGGAAGAACCATGTTGGGTACCAGTGTGTCGTTGATGGTGAGGTAGGCCAGTCGTTCTCCATCAGGAGACCACCAGTGAGCCAAATATGAATGTAGAATCTCCTCTGATCAGGAATAAAACACACAAAACCATCTGTAAAACAGCTTTATTTAGATTTTTTCCTCTCATTCTATATTTAAAGCAACCCGAGGATCTACTTACATACATTAAGACAGATAGATCTTATGAACCTGCTGGTTTTCCCCACCTGCACTCCTATTCTTTTATTCTTTCATTTTTGCCTTTTCTAGGTCACTTTACGTTATTTAAAATGTAATCCAAAAACTGGTCAAAAGCACACTATTTGATGGAGTTGTGCTCCTCTGCTGTCAGAACATATCAGCCAAATGGCTGCAATCTGAAGTAAAAGCAAATGAAACAGTGAAAATGAACAGCTTTCAGTAAATCAAACAAAAATTATTCTGTAATGTTCCCCATCTCTCTCAGACAGCGTTTGTGCTGCTCTCTGTGCAAACTGCGCACACTGCACACACTATCACCACATTACTGAATTTGTTTACACAGAGACTTAATGGATCGTAGAGGCTTGTTGTTGATTTTTCATTGCCACTCTGCTGAGTTTGTCTAGTCTGCTCTGCTGCATTTTTAATGCCAAAGACAAATCTTTGAAAAACCGACAATCCACAGTGCACCGTGAAACTGTTTCCTCCACCAACGAGCTCACAGCGACTCTCCTGTTTCGCCTTCTGGCATTTAAAGAGAGAATGGCAAAAATTCAAACCACCTCGATTTAAACTTAGCAATTATTAATGTCACAAAGTTTTTATAACTGACTTTCTGAAGGTCTTAAATGAGCATTTTACTAAAAGAAATTCAGAGAGTAACAAAAAGAGCAGTGAGCCAAATGCAATTTACAAGCGCACTGCTAATGGGAGCAATGCCACCTTTCATAAATGGCTGTTTCTGTGTCCATAGATGTGCTTTTTCTCTCTTTATTAGTGGAATATGTCAAAATGAGTAAAAGGAAAAGATCTCATGCTGAAAAATTGTAGTGCACGTTACAAATCTAGTAAAACCACAGCCGCTGTAGCCATACTCCAGCCTCCAGTATAAGTGTAATATCCTAAAGGTAAGACACTAGAATGGCTCATTGTTTATGAATAACATACAAACATTTAACACTGTAAGATAATGATATCTGGCCCATTGCAATGTGTGTGAATTTTAGTAAATGTTTTACATTTTTATTGCATTGCTCGTTAGTTAGTTGTTATAATCATAGACTGTATAAAAAAGTTATTTGTTGTCATATTTACCAGCGGAGAGGTTTGCATGCTAACATTACCAGTCCTGTAAAACAACGTCCATCCTGCGATTCAGTGACTTGTAGAACAACTTACAGCAGCCCACAACAGTCAGGTTGAAGTCTGGACTTTGACCGGATCATTGCACCACCTTGATTCTTTTCTTTTTCAGGCACTGTGTTGGAGATTTGCTTTCTGTTTGTATGCTTGTGTTCATTGTCCTGTTGCATGCTTTATCTGTCAGACAGATGTCCTCACATTGAACTCTAGAAAACTTTGGCATACAGAGGAGCTCATGTTGGCTAATGTGTGTATCTATATGTGAAACCACAACTGAGGCTGATGTCATGAGGAATTTAGTCATAAGTAAAGTTCACACGTGTTTATAACTCATTTACATTCAGTGTCTGTGCAAGATTTAATTTCACAGTTATTCACATTAAGTCAGAGCTGGCATTTATGGTGCATCAGCCCAAAGTGCAGTTTATACATAAAAGTTGCACTTGTAGTGATTAAAGGGCTCATAAAAGATGCAAAGGACTCAACGTTCAGAGTCGATACACTCTGCGGTACACACCTTCGTATAGCCAGTCAGTGAGCCCGTTGAAAATGACTCCCTCCATCCCAGAGGAGGTGATTCTCAGAGAGTTGCTCCTCACGTCTGACTGGTAGTAGATGTTATTCTCAAAGATGTAGATCTGGAGAGGAAGACGAAGCGACAGCAGACACAAACACGCAAATTTAGTTTGTTTTTCCTCTCTGCCGTTTCTCACCCTGGTGTGAAGCTGCTTTTTGCTCGTCCACTTGATTTGTTTTTCTTTTTGATTTCCTCTCTGATGACATCTCTTTTTTATATATATTAAAACCCAGTGTGCACTGTTTGTTCACCATATTTCATCAGTGTTTTAATATTTGCATTTGAAGGTACAAACAGGATCCTGCATCTTCACCAATATCCTGAATCTTCCTGAAGTCATTTCCCGCTGCATTTGCTTCATTTCCACTGCTCTCTTGTCAAATGTCATTAGCTCCATGGCTGCTCCTCTGGCTTACATACACCTAATGCAGCTGTTGTTTTAATAGCTGTACAAATGTTACAACACTGACACCAACTTAGGAAAAATGGACCAAGAGGTGGAGGGTTCATCAGTGTCATGAGATCTTTTTTGTGAAACATTTTTCCATTTCATTGTGTTTTATTCGACTTCTGTTGTTCTGTCGATTTCTTATGTGCATTTTTATATTTCCTGTTTTTTGTAAGTTGCAGTGCATTTGACCTTTTAGAGCCACCATAGAAACATCTAAAAGAACTTGCAAAGAAATGATTAAAGTTGCCCTCAACTCATGGTGCTTAAAAATGACACAAAAGCACAGATTCTTACATGTCTCGTCAAGCAAAAATGCAAAACCTTAAGTAAAAGAGAATTAATCTGGTCTCTAGCTAAGAACGATGAAATAATCTGGCTGTGTTAACCTTCAGAAGTGAGAATGAGCTCTGGACTTGTGCTCCAAGTTTGAAGACTAAAAAAAAAAACCCCTCAAAGTTTTTATAAAAGATATTTATAAAAAACATATATGTTATTCTTTTATATTGCTTTCCAACTACTGATAAAAGGCACTGCACTACATCAGCAGACATTCAAGGTTGTGCTGAAAGCTGCTGCTTGCTTTACAGTGCTGAATTTATTTCTACAGCACAGCGCTAAAATGAAAACAGGTGGCTCAGAGACTTCCTCACTCTACTAATAAGTCTGAAGAAGCACCCCGAGTGTAACATAATGTAAAAATGTGAAATTAACTACAGACGAAAACAGAGAACGTGTAAACACAACCTATCCTGTGGAGCAGATCCCCCTGGAGCGGCTGGGCAGCGTGAATTTATAAAAAGCCGCTGAGGACAGAAGAAAGGAAATGAGAGAAAGCATCACGCTTTAAAAACAGACACGCTCAGCCTTACCAGCTGCTGTCCTTGTCGTCCCCAGGCTGCGTGCTGGAGCACAGCATTGTGGACCTCGGGAGGATTCAGCTCCCTTACCTCCCTGTTGAACACACACACACACAGAAATAAAACAACCTGAATGCCGTCACGTGCAGAGAGCAGGTGATGATGAAAAGTCTAAACCGGCTTACCTCGTGTAGATGTTGTACAAGATATAAGATGCGGTGTATGAATATCTGTACATCTGAAATGAGAGAGCAAGCCATCACATAATGCAAACACTGATCCATCACTGATACCAGCCTTGCTGAGCAAAGACAAACCAACTGCAGCGGGAAAACTTTGATATACGTGCTGAAGTCACAGTCGTTTGGTTCTGTTTTCTATATTGGCTTTTGTTCTCCACTTGCTTTTCTTGATAGGTTTGTAAATGGTAAATGGACTGATTCTTATAAAGCGCTTTTCTACTCTCCCAGAGTACTCAAAGCTGTATACAACATGCCTCATTCACCCATTCATACAAGCACTTCTAAACACAAGTGCAAACTAAACTACATTCACACTCCAATGAACGCATTGGAGAGCAACTTGGGGTTAGTATCTTGCCCAAGGATATTTGGCATGCAGACTGGGGAAGCCAAGAATTGAACCACCAACCTTCCAACCAGTAGCTGAACTGCTCTACCACCTGAGCCACAGCCACACCCAAGCACTTGTTTATTCCTTTTGTATTCCCATTGTGTTTCATTCTAATTTTAAATTGCTAACCCAAAAATTTGAGTAACGCACATCATGTTTTTTGTGTGTTTCTGGTAGAAACAGGTTATAACAGTCTTTTTCAGTGTTAGCTGTTTTGATTTTTCTCTCATTAAGCAGCTTAAAATTCTTCTTTTTGCACTTGGCTCTTTTTCTAATAACACACTTAACAAAACCTAGCTTGCTGGCAAAATATGCAAGTGTAAAACTTAAGGGTTATAATACACTCCAAGGATTTGTACTTAACTTCTATTAAGTAGGAGGATTTCAGGACACAGCGGCCAAAATAAAAGCAGGCTCTTTTTTACGTACTAACACACATGTGTTCACGTGTGGAATAGGTGTAACACATCTTTATCAAACGATACCAAGGAAACTGGACGAGTTGTGCTTTACAGATTAATCTGCTTTTCACAGATTGCCGCTGACTGACTGACCTTCGCTATGATGCTTAAAATGATGTATGTTTACAAATGCTTCAGTAAAGTCATCTTTATCGACCCAATGATGCTATGAACTGACACGTCATCCATTCTGGCTTAAATATCTTGTGTTATTGCACTATTTGTCTTGTGTTTTGCTTTTTCTTACAAATATTGATCATACTGACATTTTGCTAAGCAAAAGCTGTCTCAATCTATCTTCATCAATCTCTCCTTACAGCCCAGATTCCCCTCTTGTCCGCGAGCAGGATTTTTAGAAGCTATTTACAGAACATCTGCATATTCATGAATTAGCACTGGCCAGTGGACTGGCCCCCAGGTTCACTTCAAGTCAATGGGAAACGAATCATGCAAATTTGGGTATACTGTATTTTATCAGAAGCACTGGGGGTACTGGCTCTTACTGTAGGCTTTGTTCAACAATTTTAAGTTAAGAATAATGTTACCGGATCCATTGATTCCACCCACCCAACAAATGAATGTGGTGAAATAAACTAGGCAAGTGTGAAAAGTGTAGAACCACCTTTAGCAGCAAAAATTTGAAGTAATTGTTTTCTGCCTAACTTTATCATTCTCTACAATGTTGTGGAGGAATTTTGGTCCATTCATCTTTATAATGTTGCTTCGGTTCAATGAAGTTTGCAAGGTTTCATTTATGCACAGCTCTCTTAAGGATATCAGATCAAAGGATTTCAATCAGGTTGAAGTCTGAAGTTTGACTGGTTACTACAGCATCTTGAATTTTTTTTCCACCCATTGCTTTTTGTCGCTGTGCTTGAGATCATTGTCCTGTTGCATGACTCAGTTTGGTCCAAGCTTTAGCTGTTCAACTTGCCCCACATCTGACTCTAGCATACTTTACGTGTTGTTCAGGGTCGACTCAATGACTGCAAGCTGTCCAGGTCCTGTGGCTGCAAAACAAGCCCAAATCAACACCCCACCACCACGTGCTGACAGATGGTATGAGGTATTTGTGCTGATGTTGGGTCTAGTTTTGTGCATTATCATCAAACAACTCCACTTTGATATCATCTGTCCAAAGGACATTGTTATGGAAGTCTTGTGGTTTGTTCAGATGTAGCTTTGCAGACCTAAGCTGTGTTGCCATGTTCTTTTTAAAGAGAGGAGTTTTTTTTCAGGCAATCCTCCAAAACACGCCATACTTGTTCAGTCTTTTTTAATTGTACTCTCGTGAAACTTAACATTTAACATGCTAATTAAGGCCTGTAGAGACTGAGGTGTAATTCTTGGGTTTTTGGCAGTTTTTCTGAGTATGCAAAATGCCAAAAGTTCTGCTTTTATAGAGGTGCTCATACTTGCTGATCATTAACTAATCAAGTCCATTTGATTGGCAGCACCAGGGTGCTATTTACCCACTTAATTACACCGGAAGCAGTGAGAATGGACTTAAACTATACAGCCAAAAGTATTAGTTTGTTTGTCTTCAAACATGTATGAACATGAGTGACGCCCCATTCTTAATCCATAGGGTTTGATAGGTCAGTCCACCATTTGCAGCTATAACAGCTTCAGCTCTTCTGGGAATTTTTGACCGGTTCTTCCAGAAGCACATTTGTGACATCAGTCCATGTCTTTATGGACCTTGATTTGTGCACTGGTGTGCATGCTGCAAAAAGAAGGGGCCAACCCTAAACTGTTGCCACAAAGTTGGGGCCATGAAATTGTCACAAAAACACATAAAAATGCAAATTTGACAACTTGAACAAGGAAAGTACTAAATGTTTTTTCACTCTTTGTTACAACATTTTAGATACCACTTCACATCATGTGGCACATTTATAAACGCCGACTGTAAAGCAGTGGAGGCTTGGGTGGTTAAACATTTGCTTTTAAACTGTAACACCAGCAGTTTGACTCCTAGTCCAGATCTCTCTCCTGACACTTATCTTTTGTGTTTTTGGCCCTCAAATCCATGGTATCACTTAAAAACTGCTTGCTCTTGAGGTAGGAATTTAAAATTCTCAAATACTGGAAAAATACAGGAGATTAAATCATGTTGTTTGTGCAATTTTGGCCCTTTAAAGTTGCATGAATGATTTAATTCACTGGAAACCACAAACCACACTTTAGGTTTTCTGATTTAATTTCCCCCAAAAGTGCCTTTAAAGTCAGAAGACTCCTCTTACAGCACCATGTATCTGAATATATTAAGTATGCCCTCACTATGTAATCCAAGCTTAATATAAATATTGGAATATTAACTAAGGAATAAAACAAACTTGAACTGGAAGAAATTCAACTGAGTGCAACTAAAAACCTCAGGAAGAGGCTTTAATTGTACTTAAGGGGATATCATGTTGCAGTAGATGGTAAACAGGGGTGCGATAAGTGGAGGGTATATTAAAAAAGTAAAGCTCATTGAAAATAAAGCTGTTTACATGTTTCTATATAAACAGAAGATGTTCCAAGGTGTGTGTTTTTTTTTTTATGGTAACAAACACCGATCCATCCTGCTGAGAGGCCCTTAAACTGGTGTTGCAGACCCCAGTGCAGGATGTACAAACATCCACCTCAGAGTTTTTCAGTTGCTGCAGACTTTCTAAAGCCTGGATGCATCGGTTTGCAAACAAATCTAAAAATCAATGGAAAACCTGTGAGGGGAGGAGAGCTTCGTGGTGGATGACTGACCGCTAACAAACAGAAAAACACAAAAATACTGAGAGACAGAGTGAAAATGCACAGGAAGGGCAGAGGCACACAGCCTCACCGCAAATAAACACACACCTGCTCAGCACAGGTGCAGCTCTTTATACTCACAGAGAAACGGTGGGCGCGTGCAGCGCGGTAAGTATTGTGTTTTGCAATCAGCTGGTGTATGCTCAGTCTAAAGTGAATGCTTTTAATTTATGTCGCTTCCATTTTTTGATGGGTTTGAAAAACAGTTTGTCTGAGAACAAAACAGCATGATTAGGAATAAAAACATCAGGTTGCTGCATGCATATAAGTGAATGAAAGCAGAATCGGTATTTCACAGCAGTGTCAGTACCGTCCTGGCTGGAAATGAAACAAAAGGTTTGTGACAGTGAGGATGAACTCCTGCCGTAGGGTGTGTGCTCACGAGGAAGCAAATAAAAAATGCACCATCTGTTCTGTTTGCTCTTTTTTATGTGATGTTCAGGGGATTTTGATTTATCATAGTGGGTTGTGGATGCATTTTAATGTAAAACTCACCCGTTTGACGTCATAGGCAAAGAGTGCATACTTTAGATCTGCAGACAGGGAGTACTTTGCCACCTTGAAAGAAACCTGATTGAAAAAAAAGAAATAGAAGAATAGGAGAAGATTTTTTTTATGTTTTTTTGCTCAGTCCACATTTATATCAAGCAAGCAAACAATAGCAAAAAAAAAGATAACAGAGAGCTCAAGCACTCAGGAGGCAGGAATGGACAACTGGTAGGAGTGGGGCGACAAAAATTGATTGAGCACTGGTATTGTGCGGCAATATTGCATCCTGATAAGGTTAGTTATCAAGTGTTAATAGATAAACTTCCTCCTAAATCGATTAAGTTCTGTATTTGTTTTTTAGCTTAAACATAAGTTACATAGGGCAGATATATATTTCACCATTTGACCCAACTCTCCACTTGCTTCATCTCCACAACTGCCAGGCTGCTGTCCTACTTCCTACCAATGTTGGGACTCTGCTCTTATTGTGATGCTTCACTGAAGTCTACAACGCTTCACCTCTTTCCCATTTTGTCATGTTACAGCTGTATTCCAAAATGGATTCAATTCATTTTGTACCTCAAAATTCCAATCACAATAACCCATGATGACAAAGTCACAAAAGTTAGCTTGAAAGATTTTGCAACTCCATTCAAAATATAAAAAAAACAAAATATGTATATAGGTATTCAAGACTTTTGATGCTACAAGCTTGGAACACCTATTTTTGGGAAGTTTCTCCCATTCTTGTTTGCTCAACCTCCCAAACTCTATCAGCCGAACACACAGCTGTTTTCAGACCTCTGCCAGCACAATCAGACCAGGTTAAGAAGGTCATCTTTATGGACTTTACTGTGCCACTGGAAGAAGGCTGTGATAAGGCTCAGGAAAGGAAAACCCTAAAATAAATAAATACCAAGACATTATCAAAGAGTGCAGACAGAGAGGGTGGCAAGTACAGCTGTTTTCTGTAGAAGTGGGGTAAAAAGGGAATGAATTGAAGACAGCTGTGTGCAGGATTAGGGAAGCAGCAGAAAGAGCCTCTTGCTGGTATCAAAGGGAGAAGGGCTGGAAGAATTAAGTTGCTGAGAGCTGAGCCACCAACAGGAGGGTGTTGGGTTTTATGGTCAAGCATCAAATTCTGATTCTGATTTTTCCTAGTTGAGGTAAAATCTGGAGGTTGCTGTCCTATTTTCACCCCAGCTTTTTTCCAGGTTTTGCCCCAGGACAATGATGAAAAAAAGAAAAGAAAACTAATGCAGCAGGCAGAAGCTAATGTGGCAGATAAAGGTCACAAAACCACACGGGAACCTCAGCAGGTTGTGACATTTCTGGTATACGAAGTGGTAGACCAACATTTTATAGACAGCATTTCAAAATTTTGCAGAGTCTGAATAATTAGGCAGGTTTAAAAATTAAACAGCATGCATCACTTCTAGTGCCACTTTTTGCCTTATGTGTCGCTTTTGCAATTATTTGCAAAAAATTAGGTGCACAGCTGACCGAGGGAAGCTGTGCAGCAAGACAGGCCAGTGCTCGGTTTAGATGCTGAAGCCATTTGTCTATGCAGCTATCGAGCATGGGTCAAGACTATGACTTCTCATCACCGAGGCCACCTCTGTCTTTTGATTTCATCATGAAGCTACTCATTTAAGCATGTTGATGTAGAAACATGCTTCCCGGTGACAGCGCGGCTGAGAATAAATGGTTTATGATTGTGATGATGGAACACCAACAGGATTATAATGATGCAATTAGAAAGCAGCCAATTTAACCCTGCACTGGAATAATTTAAAATTCCTGGAAGTAATACATGTGTGACAACTCATGATGAATGTTCATTTGTGTGCTCGCATCAGGTTTTAGAGAATTATCTAAAATTATAATTCACACGTCAAATCCTCTTTTCCAGGTAAGTTGAGGTGAGGATCAACCTTAAAGAGAGGTTTGAGATTGTCCGCAGTGCAGACAGCCGGGCAACCAGCGTCTTCACCAGGAGGCTACTGTATTTTTATTGTGCAGATAAAGCAGGGATAAGACTTGTTTCCTGCAGCCTCTGGGGATCCAGCAGCCAGACAGTAGAAGAGAAAGCTTTGTGATGAGCACTAGACAGAAGTAAGATCGCAAGGCCAGT